TTACTGATCATGGTCATGGCCATTTTGAAATCATCATCTTCTTCTTCCTCCTCGTTCGATGAAGAGTTGTTGAAGAACATCTCCCTCAACCTCTCCATCTAGACTATGCAATTTTTTTTGTTGAATTTGATTGTAAAAACATCAAAGCATAATGAAAATAGCTAAAAGAATGCACCTAATCAATTCGTCAAACACTTTGAGGGCAGAGGAGGTGAGAGCCTCGGTGAGTCGATGCTGGAGTTAGGGGTAGACGGCAGGTCTGCGAGACGACCAACAGTAGACGTTGTGGCTTCAAGGAGGAAGATTCCCCTCAAACCGATCCCCGGACGATGACAAAGTTCGCCGGTCTTGCCGTGATAATGGCGCTGCCAAGCTCCTCGACGGGTCCTCTACATCATCTCTATCGTCCGCCAGCTTCGTATTGGAAGAAACGAAGCTCCTCGATTGGGTTTTCTCGTCCACGAGATCGAGGTGACGACGAGTTAGATATCGGTAGATTCCAGCAAAGGCGGAGGGAACCAAATCAAAGTGGGGTAGGAGGGGCAGTGGAAGCTACGGGCCGGCGGGGAGCCGGAATTTATCCTGAGAAACAGTGTCAGTCGAGTATATTTGAGGGCCAGCCGAGCCGTTGCTTAATTTTTTTAAGGAGTTAGCTAGATAAAAGTTTGGCTAAATCGGGTTTAACTCTTCAAAACAAAAAATATATAAGAAGTTAAAGCTTTTTAAGGGATCTACTACGAGAGATGCTCTCACAAGGACATGGCGAATTGATCATGCCTATGTTTTAAGAATTTTGTGTGTGTGTGTGTGTGTGTGTTTGAAAGAAAGAACTTTCCATTAACCAACGGGTGCAGCAAAGTCGCTAGCAACCAAGTCTAAAACAAAACCTGGCATGTGATCCAACCAAACAGTGGATGGCACAGCCGCATGATAACCATACTGCGCTACGGAATTACACACTCTCGGGCAAAAAACAAATTCATAAGAATCAAAGTGAAGAATACAACTACTTCTGGCTTCATGGAACAGGACTCCAAGCTCAGCACTATCGTAGTCACCAGAGTGGGAGAGCTTGTACCAAGGACAGAGAATCGGACTCCAGCATGATATGATGAACACCAGCATTGCTCGCCCCCTCGATTGCAGCTAGACACGCCTCTGCTTCAGCCTGTAGAGCATTTTTGACATGCGTAAACTTTCCCGCCCCTGCCGCAATAAGCTCGCCCTCGTCAGAGCGCAGAACATATCCGTACGCCCCATCGCGTGCATCCTGCTTAAAAGCCGCATCGAAATTAACTTTGACAAAGTCCCTTCTTGGAGGTTCCCATCTTGTAGCAGGAGTATCAATTCGGATCTGTGGAAGGACAACAGGAGCAAAATCTAGCAGGTGCCTTTGGACCATAGAGGTAACCTCGCTTGCAGACCAAGCTTTCTCACCGGCATAAATTTTATTGCGGGTCGTCCAGCAATCCCACAACAAAACGGCCACCTGACACTGAACTTCAGCTGATAAGGAACAGACTGCCTCAACGACAACTACGGCATTTGGTTTTTCCATGAGCTGCAATCTGATCTCTTCCAAATTCATTTGCCGCCACACCTGTTTGACAAATTTGCACCGAAGAAAAATATGGCCTCCGTCCTCATCCAGCCGCATACACACTGGGCATCGAGTGTCTAGCTCAACATGTTTACGTTTGATGTTCATAAGTGTTGGAAGACTATCATGGGCAAGCCGTCATAAAAAGATCCGCACCTTAGCAGGAAGTTTCAAAGCCCATAACTTATTCCATCTAGAGACCTGCAACCCTGTGTTTCCTGAAGTACTAGCATCCCTGTAATTTTGTGTGTTTTTGTTATACCTATGTTTTAACAATTTTGCGAATGTCGTGAAAAAGAAAAAAGAACTCTGTGAATCAAATCAAAGAGACCTTAAAGTAGACATGGCTAGAAGTAGCTAGTAGCATAGGTCGAACTTTGATGAATTCGATCGGAGCGGTACGTGCACCGACGGAGCAACCACAGTAGGAAACTTGCCGCCCCACGCGCCAAGCAATCTTCAATCTTGCGCTCGAAGCGATCGATCTGCAGCGTCCGCCCTCCACGTACTCCTCGACGGCGACCGGCGGGCGGCGACGCATGCATGTTCCGACCATGGCAGCGACGGCACTCGACCCGACCGGTCTCCTCGCCGTGTCACTGCTTCCCCCCGTCGCGGCGCGCCTGGCCGCCCGCGCGCGCCACCGATCAGTCGGCCTCTCGCGCTCGCGCCCGGAGGCCGACGTGCCGCGAAGGTGACCGGCCGGCGGCCGCTTGGCCAATTTCCACGGATTCTTGGAGGGCTCTCACGATCCGGCCACAGTTTCCGCGTGTGGTTCGGCTGCTGGGTCCTCTTCGTCTTCGATCGGCGCCCGCGGCGTCGCTCTCTCCCGCACAGTCGCCGTACGTACGGACCCGGTTACAGCGAAACGACGAGAGGAAGTTTCGGCTCCGTGTGAATGGATGCATCTCTTTCGTGTCTCGTCATGTCTCTAAGCGATAGTGGCATAGTTCACGTCTTTTTTGGCTGCTGCTTTGTGCTTGATGGACAGGCAGAAAGGTGCCACTGTCGATTTACGTCTTGGAATCAACGCGTAGCATGATTTTTCTGTGGACTTGCGCGAAATTCTCGAGAATTTCTTAGGCTCCAAACGATAATGATGGCAGCCGGCTCCATTCCTCTTGTGAAACCCTTCCTGATTAGCCTCTTTGAACTGGATTGAAGAAATTTCATTCACAATTCCTATGTTTTGTCGTAATCATGTACACAAATTGCACTTATTTTAGATCGGAGGGAGTACCTCCATTTCGTGCTATGTACTAACATCTAAGAGCATTGACATTCGGACTTGGCAAATTGGATCCTTCAAGCACCCGCGAACGTGACCGGACGCGGTCATGGACAGTGACCAGTCTCGCCTTAAATTTGCTCTTATGCGTCCAAGTCTCTCATATTTCATCCACCAGATCCATACAAACCATACAAAATAAATCTACTACCTCCGTCCTAATTTATTGGTCTCTATTGTATTTTATGTCAAATTTTGATCATACATTTAACTAACAAAATGTTAATGCATGTCATAAAAAATAATATCATTGAAAATTATGTTCAAATACGAATCCAACAATATAATTTTTGTGACATGTATTAACATTTTGTTAGTTAAACTTTGGTCAAATTTTGGCACAAAAATATAAAAGGGACCAATAAATCAGAACGGAGGTGGTACATACTGCGACACGCTAGCTACGATCATCGTCGGAGTTGTCCATGACGTCGGTGTCGAGCGCCGGCTGGACGAGCGCGTAGGAGGGCTCCGGCTCCTCCTCTTCCTCCTCCTCCTCCTCCTCATCCATGTACGCGAGCAACTCGTCGACTTCCGCGGCGTGCTCCGCCTCCATCTCCTGTCGACGACGACGTCTGGCCTTCGCATCCGACTCCAAGCTGGCCTGCTGCTCCGCCTGCAGATCACGTCCCCAGTGTCCCCCAGATTCTCCTCCTCCTCAACCTCATACTCCTTCGGATCCATCGCATACGGAAGTAGCCCCGCGGCGATCCGGGCTTCGCGCCTTGCCCGGATCTGATCAAGGAGCTGCAGCCGGCGCTCCGGAGTTAGATATGGGTAGCTCCTTACCCGGCGGCATGGGGGCATGGCTACTAGTAGTGGCGGGCGGCGAGTGGAAAGTGGCAGCGACGATAGACGGCAGGGGGAAATGTGGACGGGTAGGATTTCAGCGTCGGTGCGGTCTGAAGCTCGTCTTCTTCGTCGGATCAATGGCGCCGCGTGACACCGCCAGCATCAGTCTAACGTGGCGAACATGCCTGGGCGTCCCACGTTTGGACTGGATATGAGAGGTGCCAATCAACCCGGGCATTTGAGCCATGTTTAAGCAATCCGTAAGGGTCGCATTTTTGTGACCGGTTAGTGACCGGGCTGTCCGCCCGGATGTTTGAGGCGGGGTTTGGGTGCCCGGCTGCGGATGCTCTAAATCCTGCGTTTCCTATTCCTGCGTGACACGATAAAGTGATAGAGGCTCTCCCACCAGGCCAGTCCAGCGACCTCTTTCATTCTGTCAATCTACGCTCCAGATCTCCCGAGCTTTCTTTCTTCATCAGCTTCCACCGAATCCGGCACACAGAAAAGGCGCCACCGGCCAATCCAGGCAGAAAGAGACGACGAGAGAGCGTCACCATTTTCGTTCCAGGACGGCGACTGCCACTACCTCACTAGCATGAGCAAACACTATCTTCTAATCCCTCCGGTCACAATCTTATCGGACAAAACACAGCACAGCACAGCATCAGAAAGGTACTTCACTGAAAAGAAAGCTACACACCAACAGACAAAGCAAACAAACAAACATGCCCAGTTACACCCCGTTCTGCACGATAAGCATGTCTCATGTCTGATGTCTCTTGAAACTAACGGCAAAGTAATACTTTATTGCCGCGACGCCATCGATGTCTCGACAGCGGCATGTTGGCGCGAAATATAACTGCATTTTTATTCAGCATGTAAAGGAAACGGATGAGAGCGAGTTAGTTACATGTAAGAAGACGTCGTTTATTCAGGCCAAAGAGGCAGAGCTGTCACTTTGTATCCTGTGTTTCCTGCACCTTATTTCTTTCATAGGGAAACTTATGACTGATGAAACCTGGTCGGTTGCAGATTGCAAACCGACACCGGATCGCCTCGCGTCGCATCCAAGGATGCTCCTCTATACATGTCCACCACCTTATTTGTCAGAAACCATGGGTGGTCGGCCTTCTATAGCCGACGAAGCCGAAACCTCGATCGAGCACTCTAGCACTTGAGGTCATTTCATGTCGACGGGTGTTAGCTTCTCCTAACGAATTGGGAGCTGACTGGGTGCACATCTTCTGTTGAGTTCCCTGCACACCCTTTGTCCTCACCAGTTTACTGTTAGGCGTTCGAAGCTAAAATTAAATAAGTTGGCTAACATTCATCTTCAGCGGAAGCTTTCACGGTCTTGCGATAACGCGGAAAAAGCATTCGCTTGATCTTCTTTTCAGCTGAACGTTCAGATAACGCCTAAAACCAAAAGTCCGGAAAGGTTATTCTGGATTGCATGGAAAGGCCAGAGGTACTTTGAAAAGTTTAAGCCCAATAACCCACCTGGGCATTGAATGAAAATCGAACGGTCCGAGCTTCCAAGCCAGAAAAGGCTCTGACGTCGATACCAAGACTATCGACACCTATCAAACTTGCATCCTGCAAAATGAATAAGACTGAGCTCTATGAGAAAATCAAATTGAGTCATGAAGGTAGAAACAGCAATGTCACAACCAACATATGGAAAGGTACTGTTATAATCTCACAAAATATAAACAAGGAGAAAATGTCTGTTGATGCCATTTTTTATACTGAAGTATTAAGTTTGGAGCTGTAGGCAAAGCAGAGCTTCTTGTATATAAGAATGATTAGTTTCAGATATTGTACTAGATGTAAATTCACACATATTACCAGGATTAAATTTCAGGTAAAGTATGATAGTTCCACTAGATGTAAATTCATGCATATTACCAGGATTAAATTTCAGGTGAAGTATGATAGTTCAACTCCAAAGTTCAACTATATGCAAATTCACACATATCACCAGGATTAAATTTCAGGCACCGTATTTTTGAGGAATTTTTATTTTTTCAGGAATAAATCAGGTACAGTATGATAGTGCAACTCCAAAGTTCAGTTGATGGTAAGAATTATCCTATTCATCATGCACAATAACCCACTTAGGAGTATTGAAGCTGAGTAAAGCATTACTGAACAGAAACACACCTCTACTGTAAGGCCTTTTTTCCGGCTACAGAGGGACCTTAGAGCCATGGTACACTGATCACTGTTTTCTTTGACGCGTTTTATAATGTCCGAAGCATGATTTGAAAGAAGATCTGGTTCTGCATCTTGAAAGTCTTGTGGATCAATCATAAACTGCAACAATCAACATGATGACTACCAAGCCAAGAAAAATGATGCTGATTATTTACCATTTTCACTTTACAAAGTAATACATCGATTGAAGTATCCTTTACTTGTCAACTGAAAGCATTGGGCTGAAGAGGGATGCTTTACCTGCTTACCATAGACAGAAAACAGCTCAATTGACATCATTTCCAGCTTGTAGATGGTTGAATCAATGCTACTTTCCGTATCGTTGATGTCCGATTTCGATTTATCACCATCTGAATATTCAGTTACTATAAGTTATACAGATGTTCAAGGCAAGTGACTGAATGAAAGATTTAAACTGATCAAATTACCAATTAGGCCATTGGTTCCAGAAGCTGGCCGGGGTTCTCTGTTGTATTCCTCTGTTAGGTTGACTCTTATTAGAACAAATAACTGGATAGAAGCAGATGACTGATAAAAGCAACTATGAGCAAGCTGAGAAGCACCTCTCCAATTAGATGAATAACCATCGGCACTGCATTCAGCACCAAATAAACTCCTCAAATAAGACTCTTCTTCTATAAAAGCAGGTCTCAGGTATCCTACAATAGAGACACCGTTTGATGGATTATCGATCTTCTCCCCATGATTATCATGAACAGCCTGCATAAGAAAAGTGTGCTTAATGTGATTAAGGAATGATGGAGATAAGGTAGTGCTCCATGTGACAATTCAGGCTATGAAATATGCTAGCCAATGCATCTACCATTTACTTTTCCGAAACGGAATGCATCTACTATGTAATAAACTTCTACAGCAAAATTCAGGATAATAGTAAAAAAATAGGTGGAGTTTTGCAGATTTTATTTTGTTCTGCACTTTAAAATGGCATGTTTCAGCAATCCACTCCAGTTTTTGGCGCAGCTTTTATACACCATAGTAACTGACGGAATGCGTATAACAGAGCAACAAAAATATCTATAACTCATTTATGTCTGTCTCTATTCTCCTTTGACTAGCTGAGTGCATATCTTGATTATTATTTTTGTTCCGGTTGACAAAGAGCATGTAGAGAGAAATTTTAGCAAATATTGAATTCTTATACCCTTTTTAGTCTTAATATGCGTCTACCTGATAGGCTAAGATTGTTCTGGGTGTGTTATTTACCTAGGACACCCCCACCCCCACCCCCACTTCCCCTCCATCGCAAGAGAAGGCACTTCGATTTATTTCAGGAGTTGCTTATCACACAGTAAATGTTCAGGACTTACCTTTGTCAAACACTTGGCAAAATATATAGGATGTATTGAACGCATCGTCACTGGCATTCCCCACTCTATAAGAATATCCGTTATTTCTGTGTCAACCTGTGGTATTTCACAGCGGAGAGCATCAATAATGACACGGTTTGTTGTTAATGAGAAAACTGACAGATAATGCCAGCTGAAAGCAGCTACAAACTTTCTTAGCGAACCTTGCTGTCATTATCATGCATGTCCATAGAATCCTCAACGACCACGTGGTCGCTGAAATCACTAGTTACCGCACTAGTTTCACCGATAATGGCACCATCCGTTCCGATCAAAACTGTCTGCAATAAAAATGCCATTTCAACCGTAAGAAAAATATTCTTGCAGCCAAAACGTTGATGCACACTACACTTGAGAATAGCGTTCATGTCAAACAAGATAATATTATGATGACTTCATCACAAAATGCAGACTCAAGAACTAAGTTGACGATGCACCACAGGGTCCTTATAATGCCAACTCAAAATGGAATTTGGAAGACAGTGAACCGTTTTGGCCTGTCAGTAGACCATTGATAATCATATTAAAACATCTGTGCTTGTCAAGAGACACACCGATGGAAAAGGAAACAGAAGTCATCTTACCACAGGGTTGTTTGCATCATCATCTTCCAAGATGTTCCCATCATCAGGTACTTGAAAGAAAATGTCTGTATGCAATTTCGCCAGTGTAAGTGTTAGATGCACAACATGGTAAATGATGAAGATTCTTCTGTAAAATATGTGCTAGCGCACCAAGGAGTTACCTCCATAGTCATCAACAGCATACTGAAATTCTGACCAAGAAACATGTCCATGAGGTTCATTATGGACCCTGGCAGGAAATACGAGCAATCCCTTGCTATTTGCCTACGCAAGATGGAAACATTGTCCAGCAAACGATAAGATATTTAGTACAGCAGGGCGGATTTATGTCAGTTATTTACAAATGTATGCTCGGACTTAAGCCAGGGCACTTTATAGTCATTGCTATGCCGAATTAAAACGACCGGATGCACTTAGCAACAAAAGCACTGTTTTGCTATCATAGGTTACCTCTACTACTGTTCTAGCTGTTTCTACATCTGTCAGTGAAATGTCTTTTTTCTTTGGGCGTTCTTTGATTTCTTCAAGAGGATGGTATCCCCGATCTCTCATGTACTTGGAATCTGGCACTGAATCTGAGTAGTCTGCAGCCACACGGACTTTGGAGAGGGATGAATCCTGATCAGTTGCCAACCAGGAAGGCTGAATTGATCCAAAAGTGTTTCGGCATCTAAAACTACAATACATTGTTACATCAGTCAGGTCCAACCAAAAAGCGTCATTTAAGGGAGTAAGTTGAAGCAATGAAGGAGGGAGTGACCTTAAACTTGAGAAGTCATGAAATCTCTGGGCGTGAAATGGGGTTCTGATCCAGTTTATAGTGGCTCCTGCCGACATTGGTAAACTCCAGCGAAGGACAATCTTATGTCTGCGAAAATACACCAATTGGTAACTAAGAAAATCACTGTATAAACATGAAAAAGAAAATAACGAATAAGAGATTATGCAGTAGATATGATTTTTCTTTTACGACAAACGAAATTGTATTTCTTGCAAAACAAAAGTGGCATTAATCGCCAACTTACAAGTAAAAATGGCTAAAGCAGGGACTGAAACAATTAATCAATGGCATGACTAGTCGCAAAGCAAAATGTTAATTCCTTGGGCAAAGGCAAGGTGCACAATCAGCATTCCCCCTTCTCCAGCAGTGATCCCAATTCAGAGTACAGAACAAGCCAACCATCTAGAGCTCCTCAAATCACAGCAGTCTAACAGAGCACAGAACACTGGATACAAATTGGGAGAAAGATGATTTTGAAAAGAATAACAGAGCACAGAACAGTGGATACGAATTGGGAGAAAAAGGATTTTGAAAAGAAAATTCAACAATTCATGTAAATCCAATAAAAGTGTCAGCATTCCTCCTCCCAACTGCAATTCTACATGTCCCCGAAGAAAAGAGCCACTCTGAATTGTGCGAATTGCCGCTCACACTAACCAGCAGCACAGTCCGCAAATTCTATTTTTTGTTTTGGTCCCTTCAATCCATAACCCTAGTTCCTGAACGCCTCGCTTTTTGGTGGGGCCTAGCGGATCAAGAACACTGGCAAAACTGAAGCCGCTGCCGCACGCAGCACAAAATCGCACGCTCCAACACAGAAGTGACTCGAACAAATCCTCCAGCGTGAACCAGGAGCTGCAGTGAACGCTCACGTCTTCAGGAAACAGTTGCACCGATGAAGAGACAGCCGTCTGGCGGCCGCCTCCGCTCATCCCCTGTTCCTCCGACGGCGGTAGAAACAAGATTACTTCTGTTCTCCTCCTCCTGAGAGCAGTTCTTTGACACCACCGCCGTCCCCCGAGATCACGCAGACAGACGCTGGTCGCGACCAATATTAATTGGAGGGGAAAAAAAGAGAGAGAGAATAGCAGCACGCACCTTCACCTCGCCAGCAAGCCGCGGTGGGATGGTTTGGTCCCTGAGACCCAAAGCAGGGACACGGAGAGGGCAGGATCGGAGGAAAATACGGGACGGAGGCGGCGAGGCCGGCGACTCGCTCGCTCTCTCGAGCAGCCCCGGCACGGCGGAACCCGGACGGAGGCGGTGGCTGGCTGCAGAACACGGCCTTGGCGAGCCGCGAGGAGCCTATTTTCTCTCCTCTGTTTCCTCTGCCCCTTTCCTCCCTCTCCCCGTGCGCTTTCAGGCGTGGGGCAGCGGCACCACGGGAGGGCCCTTTTGGTAATTTGAGTTTATTATAAGTTTTTTTTTTGCCGCTGTGCTGACTGCTGACCCAAGTTCCAAACCAATTTTTTATGTTCCCAGCTGCAGATTCTTCTCTCTTTGAAACTGCAGATTCTTGTGTATGTCTCTCTTGTTTTCTGAATGTTTTTTTGTTTTGTTTCTGAATGCAACGCACAGCGGCAGTGAGATGTTTTCGGTCCGGTTGGGGTTGGTGAGGAGTGGATCTCGAGGGTAATTTCCGCATTTAAAGTGTACTGCGCTGGCCCCACTGCTGCTAAAATGAGCGAGTGAATGATGTTGGCAGGGACACTTTGGGCGGCTCACGCTTTAATTATTCTAAAGATCACATGTGTTGGCGGTTTTGGCACACAACTCTACGTACAACTCCCCGCAAAACAAAACACAAAATTCCACTCCATTTCCTTCGATTTTTCTTGCCAAATCCCGTCAAATTCCTACGTATTAACATCACTTGGCAGTAGAAGAACTGTGTAGGAGTAGTTTTTTAGAGGAAAACGGAAATTGGCAGGGTCTCACTCATCATGCAGCATGTTGGTGTTGGGCGATAAGCCTCGTGCGCAGCGGATGAAGGATGTATGGATGGCATTCGAGTGAGAAGATACCCGAGATAGGAGAGCATCTTCTATTGCACTATGCGCATGCATGTCAGTTGGGATGGGATGGGATGGGATGGGATGGGATGGACGTGTGCCATGTGTCGTACCTAGCCTGAGACCTCCAATCGCATCGCAGGAGCGGCCGGGGAATATGTCTTCCATGTTGTACCATTCCGTTGGCATCAAAGTTTGGGCCTCCGGGCGGAAGGAATCTGCAACGCCAGCCTCACGCTCCTGATCGGCTGGATTATCAGGCGAGGAACAAGACATTTTCCACAGCTGCAACCTATTTTTGCATCAGAAAACTTTCCGTTTTGCTAGTATTTAATTGGTATGTTTGTATCCTCGCTTTTTGTTTGGGAAAATGACGTGTAGGGCCATGTGTTTTGGTTAAGGTCACCCGTAGTGTGGGGACATGTACATCTACATATACTGCCGTGCCGCCAACAGTATGACACGGCCCATGTGATGTGAGAGAGACGCTCACGCTCATGCTCCGAGCAAGCAAGCAACGCTCTTGTACGATACTCCAGCACTTGCTGTTACAAACAACAAGCTTCGAGCACTCACCGATTTTGCCACTCTCATTCCCATCTGATGTGTGGCGTCGAGCCATGACGACGTAGTACTGTGTTTAAACATAAACACACAGTACTACATCGTCCCGTTGGCTAGTCGGCTGGGATAGCTGCCAGCCCATTCGAGTTTGAGTCTCGACTTCTATAAAAAATGCCAACGAAAGTTAGCCTTTGGGCTATTTTTTTTTTAACATAAACTAGGCAGGCAGGCAGGACACGTATGTTTTGCACCAGACGGCAAACAATCTTTTTCAGTTTCTACTACTCGCTGTCGCTGACGACGCAAAATCGTGAATCGTGCCGTGCGGCGGGCGCTGAGCGCCTTGCACCGGCACCGAAATGGAAATCCAACCGCCGGCGCCGTGCACGGCGTCGTCGTCACTCGTCACTGCCCGCCGCTCACGAGGTGGCCCAGACGGCCCAGCCCATAATATACACGTGCGGACCATCTACGGCCCAAGCCCACCCAAACTGGCCCGGGCCTTCTCTCCGTCCCCGACGCCGCCACGCCAGGCTCTGCTGCCCGCAGACCCTGACCGGAGCGGACCGCCGGCCGTCCGCCAACTCCGGCGGTAAATTCTCGCTCAGAGACCGCCGCTTCCGTGGTCGCCGTCATCAATCTGCGGTGGTTTACTGCAGCCAGGTCAGTCCCCGGGCTACTCGTTCCTCTCGGCACAATCTGCGTAGGTCTCCCCCCTTCGTCGCCTGTACACGAACAATCGATGGTAGACAGATACCGCGAATTCCAGCAGGAGGATAAACTACTGCCGTTGAGCAGTCGAGCGCTGTTCTTGTTGTTTACTCCCGTTTAGCAGCCGAAATTTCTCTGAAAAACCGCCGTTGTCCACTGAAGAAATGTGCCTTGCGGGCTTGCGGCGCGTGGTTGGGTCATGGATCCTGTGATTTTATTTTACCTAAGAACTGCGCTGCGCTGATTTACTGGTGATATTATGCTTCCCCTGAGGCTGAGATGATGCTGACCGGTAGTGACTCGTGAGCGCACTCTATTCCAAGCTCGGGTTTTCCAACTTTTGATTACTGAACTGAATTTGAGCCATAGAATTTCACGGTGGAGAAGCCCCCCCTGGATTCGTTCTACTCCTGGAGTATCTTGGATAGATGCCGCGGCATAAAGCATGGAACGAAACTGGAATAAGTGGAGTGGCCAGTCAAGCCACATCATCTCTCTATTTTTGTTCCAGTTTCTCGAGAAAGAAATGCACAGTAGAAAATATTTTAGGGATGTAAAGGAAACCTCCGCCGTATATTGGATTGAAAATAGAACAGTGATATACTAAGAAAAGCTCACAGTACAACTTATGGTTACATTGCTGGAATAGCTCTAGGAAACAAAGGGAAAGCTGAAACAACACTGATACTTGGGTAAATAATACTCCCTCCGTCCGGAAATACTTGTCATTGAAATAGATGTATCTAGATGTATTTTAGTTTTAGATACATCCATTTTCATCCATTTTGATGACAAGTATTTCCGGACGGAGGGAGTATTAGAGACTGAGATCCACAGCTGAAAACTCCAGCTGCGGTGCTTCTTCATCTTGAGATAGTCTTCAACTCTTCTGTTTATTCTTCCCACGTCTCATCCTGAAAAGAGATGGGTCAAGCGATATGGTTAACATGTCCCGTGACTATACTTTGGGAACCTATTTACTTGACAGTCATCTAACCAATGCAGTCTTTTTATGTTGAGTTTATGTAACTATCTTGAAAGTTTAAACTCTGTATTACAGCAATTCAAATTCAAAGAGATTATATACATTATGTAAAATTTTGAATGGTACTATACTGTTGCCACATAAAAGCCCACCAGGAAACTTACATTTCGAGAAATCCTTCCTTGATGCTCATGACAGGCGATTCGGTGGTGGCGGGGATTGGTGGGAGTTCATAAGTGATGGTGGTGGAGAGCTGTAGTGGTGCAGAGGCTGTGGAGATGTTGAAGGAACTGGTGGCGCTTTTGCATGAGGAAGCTGAATCGGTGGTGGTGGGGATTGGTAAGAGCTCAGATATGGTGGTGGAGAGCTGTAGGGGTAAAGAGGCTGTGGAGATATTGATGCTGATGGTGGAGAGCCATAGGGGTAAAGAGGCTGTGGAGATGTTGAAGAAACTTGTGGCGATTTTACATGAGGAAGCTGAATCGGTGGTGGTGGGGATTGGTTCGAGTTCAGATATGGTGGTGGAGAGCTGTAGGGGTAAAGAGGCTGTGGTGATATTGATGCTGGTGGCTGATTAGCATGAGGAACATTTGGTTGTAGATGTTTTGGTGGTACAGGTGGAGAATATTGGTAAGGTGGGGGTGAAGATCCATAGTTAGATGGAGGTCGAGAGTTATAATGGCGAGGAGGCGCTGGTGACAATGGTAGAAGAGGCGACTTGTAGTTGTACGGAGGTGGGGACTGCAGGTATGGCAGCGGTGGAGCTACGTGGCTGTTTGGAGGTGGGGAGTTGTAGTAGTATGGAGGTGATAAATACTTGTGGGTTGGTGTTGGATTGTTAGATGTTGGTGGAGCTTGGTAGTTGTTTGATGGGGGTGGCGAAGAGTAGAAGTTCTGGGGAGGTGATGGATACTGATACGATGGAGGTGGAAACTTGTTTGAAGGAGGTGGTGAATGCTGGTGCAGTAATGGTGGGGATTTGTAGTTGGATGGAGGTGAGGCATGGTATGGGAGTGGCTGTGAATTAGATGGATACATCGATGGTAGAATGTGAGGTTTTGAACATCCAGCAAATGTTTTCTTTGATCCAAATGCCATTACTTGGTTGGCTTGGAGAACCACTTCTTCATTGGACTTTGAGTAAACGCTAACTCCAGAGAGATTTAACTCCATGGGCACATTGCAGTCAGATCCTCCTGCTGCTGCATGGAGCTCAACCTTGCACGAGTCAGCCCCAAAGGTGCCGCTAAGTGGCAACCCGGTAATGGCCACACTGTATTTGCCATTGCTTTCGGTGTAGCCAAATCTCACTATTGCTTGGTCATTGGCCTGGCAAGTGACCTTGACCATGGCTCCTGCACCAGATAATGATAAAAAGTATTTAGTTGCAGTATGAAATGCTGAAAGACATTTAGGAAGAATGAACAATTTGTAAAACATCATCCATCTTCTAAGTAGTTTTTCTCTTCGATGAATTTAGCTACAATTTGGGTTCACGGTCCATCATGGTATTAGTCGCATATCCATATATGTGTATCCTCGGTCTACTGTACTTTGGCCTACCTGGTAGCAACTTTAACTTGATGTTTTTATTTAAGCAAGAATGTATAGGCTTCTATAAAACACTAACAATGCCCTGTACCAAAGGAAATGTGCAGATCCTTCTTGTGCAGACTTTGGAAGATTCTCTTTTTGTAAATATAGCAGATAATAATGATAACCAAGCTCAAATTTTTCCTCTAGCCATGTTCTTGGATCTTCTGTATGATATGCTTGAATACATTTTCTTGTCACCAAGTAGTGTTTAAGCCAGAAAACTATGAACAAGAAGAAACTCGACGTATTTCCAAGCTGACTGCATTAACGTGCTTAGATAAAGAGAACTGCAAATAACCAAAATTTTACCTTCCAGGTGCTCCTTCCCATGCGATTCTTCTGGGTGTGCCTCATTGAAGCATCTATAGCAGTATGCTTTGCCTATCACCTTAATGATAGGAGCATACGTTGGCGATGCTGAAAGAGAAGGTGGTGGCAAGCTTCTGGCTGCCTCACTGAGCATTGCAAAGGCAACCAGCACGGCTAAGACCAGCCATAGCTGACCCTTTGGCTGGTGTCCAACGCTTACTTTCATGGCTGGACAGTGCTTTCTCAAGTGAGAGGAGGAGATGGGAGAATGTGAATGATTTTGGCTTTGGTATGGATGGGTATTTATAATGTTCAGGGTGGCACTTGGCAGGGTCTCTGGGGAAGCAGGTGGAGCTGGTAAGGTAGTATGGCCATTTGAGTGATTAGAGCCTGTACTTCCCTAAAAAAAATTAGAGCATGTACTTTGTCAACCACTTGATTTCAGGGAAGAAATGTGGAATTTAGTTATGATTTATGATAACCTTTGGTGGTTGGGGTATGCGTATATAAATCTGCTTGTATGTTATTTCAGAGAATTACTATTGTAGATTTTGAAGTAATCGCAGATACACAATTATGTTAGCCATGAAAACTTTCACCGGCCTGATGCACATATTTATTCAGTTGCTTGTAAATCCTCAAGGGTCTTTGTACACATCTTTTGCAGTTTATCCTGCATACTGAATTCATCTCACCTGAATGTAAAAGAGCAGAGCAGTTTTGTATTTTTTTTCTACTCCCTCCGTTCACTTTTATAAGTCGTTTCAGACAAGTGAAATTGAGCTGTTTTGCACAATGTCTGAAATGTCTACAAAGCCTTATAAAAGTGAACAGAGGGAGTATTTATCTTAGAAAAGTTCATGTTTCATAGTACTCGATAGCATAAACTGGAAGTTTGTGATGGAAATTTTCCTATGTTTCTTTTAGAAATATTCAACCTGAATTGTGTAAACTCGGTGTCTTCGAAGGTATATCATTTATCAGCTCTGACCACGGTAGATCGAGGTGGTGAATTTATTTTTATTTTTAT